GAATCCACCAATATAATGGAACGGCAAAGTGAATTCAAAGAAAATGTTAAGGCATACTTACATGCCAAGCCTGCTATTCTGGGAACAATCGTCTCTGCCGCGGAAAAACGGAGCCAGTGGTCCAGCTGAAAACTTTCCGAAGGAAACGTGACAGGTTGGCTTAGGCGATGCCGGTGGGCGACTTGCGGAAAGGTGTAAGACTGCAGGACGGGGAGGTAACCGTAAGAAGCCGCTGAATGGGTGTAGATCTGGTGGCCGTAGAGGTACCGGGGGAAGAGGCCCGCCGAGATGGGTGTATGCAATTCAAGGATTGGGTACTGCGTACTTAAACACCCCGGTTTTGGGATGGAGGCGCAGGAGGAAATCCTCAGTGGAGTCGTTTTGCAGAATCTACCGGTGCTGTTAATAGATTCAAAAATGGACCGATTTCCAGAAGCAGAAAGGGACCGTTTCGGGTTAGTCGCCTTCGATGGTTCGGTGGCCAGGAGCGCGTCGATGTGGAAGGTTCTGGACCTCTCCATCTGATTAGCGGTCTCGGCGCGATGACAATGACCTGACTAACTGGTCGGTTCTCTATTTCTTGGGCAAATTTGGCAAGCAAGACTTGAATTTCACTTTCAAGCTGCGAAGGTGATTGGCTGCGCGTCTCCGCTTCAGTTATGTGCAATTGGTTTGTAGTTTAACCGTTTATTTTACTAAGGGGTGTGGAGGCGACCATAGCGGCCGTAATCATAGGAGAAAACTCGGTATGACTAAAACTATAAGACTGGCATGACGTACATAAGTGTATGATTTATGCAATATGTTACATTGCAATGGCGCTGTCATATAACTTCCAGTATCATAACTATAACATTCCGGTATTATTAGTCTACCATAGCCTACAAGGTCGTTTCATTTTCCCTGGCAACTGCTGGTGGATATTTAGAGATATACAATTTCGATTAGCCTACAAATGTGTGAGAATAGGCCTACATATCGACCTACATGGGCTCCCCCTTTGAGTCTGGTCCCTCCCAAGGTTTCTTCCTTCTAGGGAGTTTTTCCTTGCCACTGTCGCCTATGGCTTACTCACTGGGCGCTTTGGGTGGGGATGCTGTAAAGCGCTTTGGGACGATGTAATGTTGTGATAATGCGCTATACAAAAATAAATTTGTTGTTGTTGTTGTATATACAAACTTCTGCTTGGTTTATTGGCAAATACACACAACAAGTACAACCAAATGTGTAATCCAAGAAGTCTATGGTGGAAAGGAAGCAGGTCCAATGTTGGGAGTGTGTGGGGGGGGGGGGCATTACTTAAACAGGCAGAAGATTTACCAGCTCAACTGATGAGCAACCTCTTTTGGTTTAGGAGATAATCATACAAATCCCAAACAAAGGTGAGCTGGAATTGAAATCCACAACCCAGGAGCCATGACACACAGATTGAACATTGTACCACATCAGCGACGTGTGATGATTTGCATGGAAACCCGCACAATAAGGGTAGAACATGCAAACTCCACGCACTCCACTTTTCACCAAAGACACACTGAATTGGCATCTCTGAAGTGCTTATAGTGTATGGTCGTGTGTGTGTCCAGTAATGGACTGGTGTCTTGTATAAACTAAAAACCCAGTATAGGAGAAAACAAGGTTTAAGTTATGACAAACTAAGTAAACTTTTTAGGAGACCACCAATAGATGCAGTAAAACAGCTGAGTGAGATCAGGGCGACACGGAATATAAAGAAAGTCAAACTCTCAAAGTCGCATATAATCCCTTCTGACAGGGAAGAAGAGGACAACTAGAGAACCTCAATCTAAGGTTTTGAATAAAACTAGACCAAAATTAGATGTCCTGAATACACATTAAAGAGTTCCTACATCCCTCTGTCAGTCAGTTAGCAGCCAATTTTTTGTAAGATCTTTCCAGTGCCTAGGGGGGCAAACAGCCGTATTTCCAGTGTTCAGTCTTCCCTGATTTACTGGCCTTTGTTATTGCATAGACCAAATATTTACGATTAAGACGATAATAAAAGTGTCAGGATAATAAAATTAAACTTAACCGAGAGCCTGACAAGGGACAGACTATTCTGAAAATTAACTGGCGTAAACGAAATGTGTTGCTGTTATTTGGTTTTACAGTTTGAATCATACACATTTATACAGCGTTTATTTTGCATCACTGACATTATTAATGTCCAAAGTGTGCATTATGTTTGCATTGAGGTTCGCTTTTCTAATGGTATTTGTTACATGCAGACGTTCAACTAAGTTTAAATTGAACTGCAAGGTAACATTCAATATTTCCCGACTACATCATGTCTTCAAGGTACAATTTGTCCTCGGTCCAGCCGTAATTATTTCTTGAATCGTGACCGTACATCTCTCCGTATCTACTGAGTTTCTGCATCTGACACATTCCCTGGAAGGAAGAAACGTTTGCAGAAACTGGTTCCTCCGTAATTACTTATTTTAGCGAATGACAATGCGGCAAGAACGTCGCCGTCCAATTAGAATTGAATCAGCCATAGCAGGAGGCGGGACTTCCGCGTCGCCGTGTTGTGTTTCTGGAAAAAGAAGGGGAAAAGGGAGAGATTTCGTTTTTGTGTTACAGCGTTTCATATTCCCCCCTGTTTGCAGTGTGTGGTTTCCGTTGATAATTTCCCTATTTTCAGGTAAAGAATCGTGCGCTTGTATGTCGGAACAATGACAGGATAGATTGTCCAGTGGCGCTAGATTGTTAGCAAGTTCGCTAATCTTGTAAAGATGAAAATAAAAGAGAAGCGATCAGTGTTAATTAAGGGCTGGAAACTTGTATGGCTGGCTAAAGACGGGCTGGAGGGGATCGCCGCCGGTGTGTGTAGAAGTGATCAAACACCCTCCGTCGGCTAGATGGTATAAGCTGCATAGGAGCGGGGAGGCTGTGCTGAGTCATTTTTGCTAGCTACATGGGAAGAAACTGAAAGTGTTTTTTCACTGCAGTCAGCTGGTCAGTAGGTTTGGGAAGGTTTGGTGTGTTGATGGTCGAAGACTAACACGCAGTCAGCAAACCCGAAACCCATTCAAAGTGACTGATGAAGTTTCCCCCCCGGTAACACAGAGCGGCAGGTTTAGGTGTCTGCCTCATTCATCCGGCGAAGAGCCGTGATGGTCTGTGTACTTTAATCCGTGATGATGTATGTACTTTAATTAGTGATGGTGTATGTACTTTAATTCGTGATGGTGTATGTACTTTAATTCGTGATGGTGTATGTACTTTAATTCGTGATGGTCTATGTACTTTAATCCGTGATGGTCTATATACTTTAATTCGTGATGGTCTATATACTTTAATTCGTGATGGTGTATGTTCTTTAATTCGTGATTGTGTATGTACTGTAATTAGCAGTGATACGGAATCAGATTTCGACAGTCCCGTCATTGTTGTGTAATATCTGAATTGCTCCTTCTAGTTATGCTTTCCCCGAAATGATGGTAAGTAGGCGTTACCAGTCGCTCGTGACACTGGAACCTGCTCGGATAACTAGCATGTTGACCAGGGTTATATTCACGGCGCGCGGTGACTGTACTAACATAAGACACGTGGGCCGGGGGGGGGGGGGTCATTTTATTAGGTTTTAATTAGAAGGTATATAAGATTTCAATCAAGGTACGGAATTTGTGAAGGGAAAGCAGTGTTGACGGGGTAAGTTCAGGTAGGGTGTCATTAGGAGGAAGGTGAAGTCATTCACCACCTTGAATGCTTGACAGTCTCGTTAAGAATCTGGTTAACAATAAGAAAATACTCTGGCGATTAGTCAAGTGATCGCAATAACGATCCTCTAATATTAGGATGACAGCAGGTCAGATACTCTTAGATAATCTTCATGCATCCATCAGTCTTCTAACTGCTTATTTTGCATATGGTTGTAGGTGTTTAAATGATGTAAATATCTTAATTTTAATCCTGGTAACCAACAGGCAGTTTGATTCCTCTCATTTATTTAGTGCCATAGTCATATCATTCTCACACCTCAGGAAAGACTTTAAGTTTGAGTCAGTGAGTAACAGGATTGTTATTTTGTTGTCCTCATTGTTTTTCGGTTTACTGTAAAACTGACGGTCCTCTTTCTGTTTCAGCTACAGTTCAGGTAGCATCGTGACGCCAACAGCTTGTTAAATGAAAACTTAAACCATGTTCAGTTTTGAGGGAGATTTCAGGACAAGACCCAAAGTGTCTCTCGGCGGAGCCAGCAAAAAGGTATGGCGTCATCCATGTCATTTCACTTAAATGGTTTTTAGCGCTTCGTTGAAGACTTTTGCCCAAAGATTCGCATACATTAAAGAAAGTTTCTCCTGTTTGTATGGTTAGACTTAAGTAAATGTGGCATATTAGTACAAACGTTTTCTCAGGACACATCAAAACTAGGAATTACGAGTAGCAGGTTATTCATTTTGTATTGTCTTGGGTGATTTTTTTGACTGCTTTATTTTCGAAAAAGCCAGCTTAATCGTGATAAAACGTTTAAAGATGTAATGCTTGTTTTGATATTTTCCTGGACTTGATGTGCCTGTTTTTCTTAAAGGAAGAAAAGGCTTCCCTCTTGCATCGCACACAAGAAGAAAGGAAAAAGCGAGAGGTACGCAGCTCCTGGAATGTAAATGAGGTCTAGCTGTGATCCGTTTAGCCCAGACAGTGCAAAGCGGCATTGTGGTCCTTTTGTCTTAAGGACAGCACTGATATAGTGGGATAAGACAGCTTTCTCAACCCAGTTCTCGGAGACCGCCTGGGAATCCACAATTCTGCTCCCTGCCAGCTCCCAGCCAATGAAGAACGCCAAATACCTGGGCAAGTGTTTTGAGAGCAGGGAGGGAGAACTGGGTTGAGGAACACTGGTATAGGAAAATGGCACATGGATCACCCACGTTAATCCTTTGTTTAGCTTGGGTTGATTTTTGACAGCTGGTTTGAGTACTGAAAGAGTTGGTGGAATGCAACAGACAAATGTGTTGCTGACTGCATGTTTTTCCTCTCCAGGATGAAAGACGAAGACTGAGAAATGCGATAATTATACAGTCGTATGTCCGAGGATATAAGGACAGGAAACAGCAGGTGTGTAACATGCATTGTTTCTGTCTGGTGATTCAGGCTTGGTCTGGTTTGATTGTGTATTTAGTGCAGTGTTTCCCAATCTGGTCTTCAGAGTCCCACAGCTGGTCCATGTTTCTGTTCCCTCCCAGCTCCCGTAGGGAGACTGTGGATTGTCTGTGGGTCCCCAAGGGCCAGATTGGGAAACATTGATTTAGAGCGTAATTTATGGTATTTAAATTACTTATGAAGTGCAGGGAGAGTCCAAGTCTTTGTCTGAACTAGTTTACTTGTATGCCCTTCCATTTTTGAATAGTACTAGGTAGGGCTGGGCGATAAAAATGATTTAAGTTTTAAAGGATAAGAAAATGAGAACATTTGGTAAAGTGACGATAAGGAGCATTATTATAACAACACACGTCGGCCTCATAACACAGAAAAGAACGCAATTCCAACTAATTGGCAGGCTTCTAAGAACGTATCACCTTCGCCCAGCAAACGCAGTTAGTGGAGCAGAGTTCCTGCTGCTCTTTTGGTAGAAGGCAGGAGCTGAATGTTCCCTCAGAGGAAACGTTGAGTGTGGGTGAAGAATGTATTTCACCTCTTGAAACATTGCCAACCAGTAGAACATAGAGACTGCTTATGGTCACCCGCACCAGCAGTTAAGGTTTCCACTTTCGATCTGACCTCCCATGTTGGTTAAAAGTAAAAGTAAAAGGACCCGAGAAGCACAGGTACGTCTTTCAGATTAAGAGGATTCTGGGATTGTGCTGCATTTTATTTTTCAATACAAGACAGGTGGGAAAAGCCCATTCCCTGTAATGAACAGCGAGGCTGTCAGAAAAAACCCAGCAACAAATCATCAAATATGAAGCCCAGAAGTAAAGAAACTTCAATTGTATTGTGTTAATTAGCCATATTTGCTGATAAAAAATTATCATGATAAAATATTTCGCCGTATCACCCTTACCCTAGTATTAGTATTTGAAGTAGTCAGTCATTTCAACATATCGAAGCTCTTTGAGACTTCTGTCTTTCCAAACAGTGGTGCATGTAACGTACATGTGTGTATATTCACGGCTTGCTGCTACTCTCGTCCTCAGTACGCCCTTCAGAGGAGCGAGTTCGATCATTCGGTCTCGGTCTGTCAAGCACAGTCTTCGGGGGGCGTCCCTGTCAGCGATGGAGCTAGCCTCAGCCTTCTAGTGCGCCAGCTTCTGTTTTTCTATCGGCAGAGCGAAGACTCGCACCGATTGGTAAGGCTCAACTGAACTTTCTGTCCGCACTCAGTTCTCCTTCCATTGTGCCAGTTAGAGAGAGGAATCCTTGGTCTTAGAAATGTCAAAATCATGCCTCAAAGTCTTTGTGTCTCTAAGTAATTATATGCCAGCTATCTCCGGAACAGCGATTCTTGGTCTTGGGTCTGCAAAAGCTTAGGGCAAAACTAATGAACATTCAGCCAAACCCATGGAGCTAAACCACAGATGCTTTAAGAATCGCTGGCACCTCCAGTCAGATTTGTGCGATAGGCATCGATTGGCGTTAATTGCAGAGTGCGCTGCATGTTAATTTAAACCTATACTTGATATAGGGTCGTGACTGAACTGGCACGGTAAAGATTGGGTTGCGGTGCAAAAAGGCTGAGAACCACTGCTGTAAAACATCGTGCTCTGCAATATAGTATAATGAATCTAATTGTCTTGTAAGGGTTAGAGAGGAACAAAACATATCTTTAGTTATTGATATAGCAGGCAAATTTACCCAATGCAACGTATAGGGGTCACCGTGTCCCTGCACCAATAAGGTGTTTCTCAAATCAGACAATCCCAGAAGCAGTTGGGGCTCCTTGCTTGATGGTGAAATCGCTCTGGCAGTCTTGGGATTTGACCTGGCAACCTTCTGATCAAATGCACAGCATCTTAACCTGCTGAGCGATGCGACTTCCTGTATTTCCGGCACTCCAGTGATAGACTTCCTGCTTCCTGTTGCTAATGGGCCTTGTATTTTGTTGTCAATCCCCCACCTCCCTCGCAGATATGGATGTCCCAGTGCCTGGTAAAAGCCAACACCCAATTCGTGAAGCTTCTGTCGGGCCCTGAGAAGCACACGTGCGTCTTTCAGATTAAGAGGATTCTGGGATTGTGCTGCAGGTGAGAGAAAATCCGGCCCCGGATCATTTCGGGGAAAGCATAACTAGAAGGAGCAATTCAGATACGGGAATTGCCTCGTTTTCAACGTATCTGTCCTCCTCTCCCCTGCCAGGCTTTTGCAGAGCTGCAAACAAGAGAATCTGAACGTCACGGCGCCAATGAGAATGCTGGAGACTTTCTCCTCGGAGATGACCTATTTGCCCGTTCTCCAAGATGCTAATTGTGTAGCATCTCTAATCGAGCAGATTTTGCACTATATGGTACAGAAAGGTAACACAACCTCTACTGGATTTTACCGTGTCGATGGTTTGCGTTGGCGATGATTCATCTCTCGCTCCTGCACGCTCATATTTCAACCAGCACCTTCGTTAGGTGCCAATTAGTCATTTTCAGTTGAAGATGGACTCTAGTAATTAAGATGGATGCATTGGCTAAAGTGGTAGCAGTTTGGTTTCTGCATTTTGCACAATATTTTGAGTATAAATACAATTGTTCTTTTCAACAACCCTGAATATGAATTGCCCCTTTTCTGTGGTGGGTGCCCCCAAAGTCTGGCCTGCAGGAAAGGGGGCATAGTGTTTCTCAGCCCTGGTTTGATACAGCAGTCATCCTACAGGTTTGTAGGTGATAGTATCACATTTTCAAGGAACTTACAGTATTGCGAATATGTCTAATTCCCCCCCCCCTTCCCCAGGAGAACGTTTCTGTTATTGTTGACATCCTGCGTAATTCCAAGGAGTTCCTCTAGTGTAATATACAGCCAGTTTTGCTACATTGCGACTAAGGAAAACCTACTAAAATACACATTTCCAATGTGAAAAATTGGGCTCGGGGAATGCGACTCCAAAACTTAGTAACTTACGCCAAACAAAAAATAAACAATAAAAACAGTGATTCAAGTGGCCAGTAATGTCTTATATGCATTTTCAATAAGAAATAATAATACAGTAATAAATTATATCATAAACATTTCCTATGGGTCTTTTGAGCCCCATAAGAATTGCGTATTATACACTTCTACTTGGACGTGCCAAACTCGATAACTTGTCGATTGCCGACAGTCGGGAGTAGTGAGCCACTGCCACCAAGTGGCCGGACATGCCACTGCAGGCAACATGGCTACAGACAGTCTATGAAAAGCAAATGTACGTGAATTAAAAAGGACGCTGTGTGTGTTCATATGATAATTTGTCAAATATCGTTAGAATTTCAGACTTTGATCCGTGCAATTGTGTGGATGCACAATTCACTGAAAAGAACCGGTTCAAAAGAACGACTCGTTCACTAATCGGACATCACTATCGTTCACTTGGGTAGCGTGCAAGTAGTGTTTCTGGTAGCTAATCCTGTTCCCTGAACATGCTCTGAGATGGCACCCATTATAGCCTCCTGACGCTGACCATAGGATCCTCGCTCTTAGTGGTAATCTAACGCCTGTTAGGGGGAACCACCTCGGTGCCGAGCTCCGTCGCCACGTGCCCTGCATGACCACGCTGCCCTTTCCGTCTGCGCGCTTTTCAGGTTACTACAGGTCGCTGTACATCCTGGTGAACCACAAGCTTCCATCCAGCCTGGATTACAGCGACTCCCCGTCTGTCCCGCTGGCCGGCACCCTGCTGGATCACACGCTCAAACCCTTGCACTTTACCTACTCTTCCTGCACGGCAGGCGCAAGGTCAGTTTGTGCCAGTGGGAGGCGCCCATGAGGTTATGTAACGTATGTGTTGTCAGTTCATTTTTAACACAATGAAAGAGATACTTTGTATTTCTTGTCGCCTAATCTAAGGGGTGCATTTTGACCTAAATAATTTCAGGACAAATCATTATGCAGATGATTAATGTATCATAGAAGATAAATAATGTCAGCTGGTGCTGCTTATAATCACTTCCCTTGTTTTCTCCCCTCTTCTTCCTCCTCCTTTCCCCCCCCCCCAAAGACAATACGTGTTTTCCGTCTTCACCGAGGAGTTGTTGACGGGCCCCTTCACGGAGCAGATGTTTCACTTCTTCATTCCGGCACTGGCCGATCCACGGCATGCCTTCCCGTTCGAGGGCTTCCTGGCCTCCCTCCGGGGCACGCTGGTCACCTCCGAGGTCGCCAAGATGCAGGCCCCCTGGCTCTTCTACTTCGTGCTGGCTGTCGGCGAGGAGAACATAGGTAAGGCAAAGTCGCCACTAGAGGGTGCTGGAGGGTGTCGGCTGAAGGATACCGTCGCGTTAAATTGTCCTGGAAAAGTTATTTCAACGTTGCATGTTTTAAACAAAGAACCCTTTGCGTAAGTTAGTATTATATAGCTAGTAGTATAGACTACTAATTGGTAGCTGTACGCTATAAGAACAACAAATGATGAAATGATTGATTTACTGCTGCATAATTCGTTAAATTAGCAGAGTTGTAGCTTGTCTTTGAAACCGTTAGCACTGCTTAGCTGTGATTTTCCGCTGTCCAGTTCTTTGTTAGTGCTTCCTTGCGGATTTTGTACCTCGCGGGTATAGTGCCTCACTGGTGTGTGTTAGCCCCATGGGTATTTGACTCGCCGCACCGGTTCTGTGCTGCAGGCCGCCTGTCAGAGGAGGGGCTTCTGCTCTACCTGCAGGCCCTGCAGTCGCTGCTGCCTCTGCTTCCCGTGTCGGAGACCAATGTCCGACAGGAGGTCACCAGCGACTCAGAGGACGAAGATGACGTCGGTGTGACGGGGCCCACTGCAGAGGTGAGCCATGTGTGTGGTGATGAACTGATGGGAAGGGAAGGTAAAAGTGCCAGGAGTACAGCTAATCTCTTAGCGACGTAGCTCTGGCCCATGAGCAGCTAAACCCGCTGAGACGTAGCTCTGGCCCATGAGCAGCTAAACCCTTAGTGACGTAGCTCTGGCCCATGAGCAGCTAAACCCTTAGTGACGTAGCTCTGGCCCATGAGCAGCTAAACCCTTAGCGACGTAGCTCTGGCCCATGAGCAGCTAATCTCTTAGCGACGTAGCTCTGGCCCATGAGCAGCTAATGTCTTAGCAACGTAGCTCTGGCCCATGAGCAGCTAATCTCTTAGCGACGTAGCTCTGGCCCATGAGCAGCTAGACCCTTAGTATTGTGGCTTTACTCTCTGAGCTGGTTAACCCTTAGAGACATAGCTATGCCCCATTAGCGGCTAATCCCTTAGCGATGCAGCTTTGCCCCGTGAGCGGCTAAACCCTTAGCGACAGGACCTGGCACTGTTTGGGCTGCAGGAGGACGGACGCGTGTCGGTGCAGCTGATCACAGAGGAGTGCATCCGCAAGCTGGACTCCAAGCAGCAGACCAACGCCCTCCTCAGCTTGGTGTGGAGGGACTCCGCCAGCGAGGAGGTTTTCACCATGATGGCTTCCGTCTGCCATACGCTCATGGTGCAGCACCGACTCATGGTGCCCCGGGTCAGGTGAGCGGCTTCAGCCCTTTTCGGTTTATTTCCTTGTCTATTAATCCATTCGTATTTATCCACTTAATTATACTTTGCATATTTAAAATTATATATTTCATGTGTTTTGCTGTAGGGTATTCCTGATTTTGGTTTGGGGTGATATAATTGGCTTGTAATGGTGGCCCTATCTGCTTACCAACCTGAAAGTAGAGCTTTTTGAGGCTCTTTGTCCATCAGCTCCTTTTTTTCCCCTGCTGGGAGTAGTCCATCCCATCCATCCTCAAACTGGTTATCTTTGTCAGGATCGCAGGAAGGCTAGAGTCTATCCCAGGCAGCACAGGGCAGAGGACAGAGGTACAAAGTGGACATGGTGCCAGTCTATTGCAGGGATTTTGTAATTAAAGTTTCTTTTATGGTCACGTTTTGTCAGGTTCCTCCTCTCACTCCGTGTTTTGTCACGTAAATATTGCTTCTTCTGGGTTGGGAGCTTTGCTTGTCTCCACAGCTGTAAATCGCTCCAGTCCCTCAGAAACATACAGGCTTCGTTAGTCATTTCAGTACTGTCACACTATGAAAATGAGGAGAACACGCGCCACCGTAGAACCTTCTAGAACCTCACCAGCCACCCTCCCTTCTGCAGTCTGACACGTATTCGTTTGCCTGCCGGTGTTGTGTGGGTGATCAACTTCACACCAAAGGAGGACGATATTCAAGCTGGTGATATTTCTCTGAGAGATATGGGGGGGGGGGCATCTTTGAAACTCTGTGACCTGAAACACAAGCGGCCTTGTGTTACTTAGTTACTGTGGAAATGCAGCCTGGGCCTGGAGTCGCTGTGTTTGGAAGCTGATTGCCCCTAATTGCCATCACTTCCCCCCGCAGTTTTATTTTGCATTTCCACAGAAGCGTCAAAGCATGCAACCATTTTGGGGGTTGCCCCTCGCTGCCGATGATGCGGACCTTTCCCATCGTGCGGGCGTCGTTAACCTAGACATGCTTGGCAGGAAGGCAGCGCCAGCTTTACGACCCCAGTGTGCATCACCCCCCAGCCTCCCTAGTGGTGGACGGATACCCGGCTCAATGCGGCATTAAGGGCCATCGAGTTGCCCCCTTTTCCTACTTTGCATGAGGAATTTGACACCTTTTTAACAAGGTGCCCCTTGTTGGTCTTTCCTGGACGTCCCAGATCAGCGGGTTTCCACCAAAGCTGTACTCTCCGAAGGGGTGGGGCTTCACTTGCTGATCAACCCTTGGTCCTAATTTAGTGGAATCACAAATGGCAGATTGATCAGATTATAGAACGTTGGGTTGCACTTGATTAGAATGTGATTGGTTCAGTAACAGGGTATCTCCTGTGCATGCCGGTCCATGCTGGCTTTTTCGTTAAATATTACCGACGTCTTCAAGCTCCTGTTTCTCCGTCCTGCCCCTCCAGGCTCCTCTACAGCTTGGCCTTCAACGGCAGGTTCCTGAGGCACCTGTGGCATCTCATAACATCTATGACAACCAAGATGATCACAGGGTAGGACCTAAACCTCTCCATAATCCCTGCCTCCCTCTGCCTGTCTAACCCTTTAGATGTTTGATGTGAGTATGGCCAGGAATGCCAGAACCCATGCGGTGGTCTCTAGCGCACAAACTCCTGGCATCTCCTTGACATCCTTGTCTTGTTCCCCTTTCTACTGGGTATGGTCCAACTGTAGATCCTAATTAGCCATGCAGTTCTCTTCTTCAGGTGTGTCTGTCCTTTATAGGAACCAACAAATTTGAAGTATGGTTGCCTATAGGTGCTTAAGATTTTGCTGGGTGGGTGTACCTGGTCTTGCCTGTCTCACCGTCCTCCTCCTGCTCCTCTTCGCCTTCCTCTCAGGTCCATGGTGCCCCTGCTGCAGGTCATCTCACGAGGTTCACCCATGTCCCTGGAGGACTCCAACCGCATCATCCCGCTCTTCTACTTGTTCAGCTCGCTCTTCAGCCACCTGCTCATCTCCGTGCACGACAGCGAGTTCTTCGGCTACTCCGCTGAAGGTACCGGCTCTGTCATTTGAGGAAACCGCCACTGTCCGCATCATTGGAAAACGTCACCGCTTGTGAACGTTTGTTGAATTTGGGGGCTGTGGTTTCCAGTCCTGGTGTTCTTTTTCATGTTTTTCTTAAGGTGGACCATCAGCTACCTAAAAAGAATTATTGGTCCCAAGAAACACCTGCTATAGCCAAGCTAACTGACATCAATAATATATTCTGATAAGCTACCTTGCTAGCACCTCGTTTAATCGAGTCAGGATATCAGCTTGTTAGAGGATATGTTATTAATATACACATGCAAGAAAAACAGCTCATTAAGAGATGGAAGAAGAGAAGCCTTTGTTTTTTTTTGGGGGCGTTGTTACCAGGCATGGCCTGAAGGGGGCACTGTGGAGCATAGTGGAGTAGGTGGCTATTAAAGAGTACAAGGTGGGGATTTGACCCAAGTCATGCTCCCCATCCCAGACGCCACCCCTGCGGGCCTGAGCCGGCCGTCGGTGATGCCTTTCGCTCCGGCGGAGCTGGTGTCACTCTCTCGCTGCCTCAGAGATGCCTGCCTGGGCATCATCAAACTGGCCTACCCGGACACCAAGCCCGAGCACCGCGAGGAGTACGTGGCGGCCTTCCGCAGCGTGGGTGTGCGCACCAGTGCCACCGTGCAGCAGCGCATACAGGCGGAGCAGAAGCGCTGGGTGCAGCTCTTCAAGGTGAGCTGGGGTGTCCTCCAGACCTGACCGTGTGAAGGTTCACCCAGTACGGAAATCATTGTCTTCATCAAACCCTGTCCCAATACGGTACTGTGTAAGTCAGCACACATAAGTGTTTCTAAAAGTATCAGGGCTAAAAGTTTCTAAAAGTTTTTAATCCATTCTAGCTCAGTTAACGTGAATTTCAGGTGTAATGATATTTTATTGGTTTCCATGGGGAAATTTCTCCTTTTGTCTGTTCCATCTTGCTCTCCGTGAGACACATATGCAGGTGAGAACAAGCTTGGGGGGTCACAGTGATGGGTTAGCCATCTGCGGCGCCCCGGCACTGGGGGGGTTAAGGCCTTCCTTAAGAGCCCCCCCCGGCATGTAACTATTCTGCTGATGCCAGGGTTAAATCTGATCACAGGCTCAGAGGCTTAGCCCACTGAGCCACGCACCAGGGCGATTGGGGTTGTTGACGTGTGGAGATTATTCGTTTTTACCCCCTGAGTATTTTTACGAAGTTGCGCTTCACCACATCGCAGTGTTGGTGCTTCTTCGCGTTTTGGACAGATGGCTTCGCAGGTGCTGCCTGTGGTCCAGGTGTTTCGCACAGCGCCGTGGCGATGGCCGTGTAAACGAGCCAGAACGCATTTCCAAAGCTCTTCGGGAGTCTGTCAGCATAACGCAGCCAAGAGAACCATCTGTGTTGGAAGGAAACACTTTGCAGATGTTTGTGTTTCACTTACACGCTTGTTTATTAAACCGTGTGCCAGCTTTACTGCATTGTGTTTTCAAACTTGAATTTCATTGCGTTTAATGAGGTTCGAATGTGATGAAGCAGCACTGGTAGAGTATGTTAGAATATTTGTGTGATTGCAGTAGATCTCTAGCTCTTCTGGGGAGGAAGGATGGTGTGTGATGCCCTTTGCATACGGGTGAGGGTGAGGATGAATGAAGTGTCTAGAAGGTGTCAGCTTGGTGTCAGTGAGAGGCTCATGGCAGATTTAAAGATTGATTCCTACACTAACCTTTAGGTGATGTGTTTAACACTGGTGTCCAGAAATACGGTTGATGGAAGCAGAGGTGGAAATTTCAGGTCCAGAAAGTAAAAATCCAGACCAAGATTTTGTTTCAACCAACCAACCAGTTCAGTACTCTGTGACTTTGACTATTTGTAATGAACTGGTTGGATGGAACAAAATCTTGCTCTGGATTTTTACTTTCTGGACCTGAAATTTCCACCTCTGGATGGAAGGCTCCGAGCTTGCGTTCAGATCAGGCCATGATCCCGGCCGCTTTCTGCCTGCTTGCGTCGTGATGAGCTTTACGCCTGAGTGGGTGGGGTTTTGAAGGCCTATAGTTAAGCCCTTAAAGTAGAAGCTGCTCACGTCTTGTAGGGGGAGTCGAGCTTTTCCTCAGTGTTCTGTCGGGATGCGCGTCTATTAGGTCAGCTGACTTAGCACCTGGTTGTAAAATGGCTTCAGATGAATCTTCAGGTATCACTGATGGTGGGAGATTAACACCACCTTCTGAAGAAAATAGCGTTAAATAAGGGTTTCATATCTTAAAAATCTCAAAAAATACCAAGAGAAATTCTTGAAGTGGGGGTGTCATACAAATGTAGATATTCCTTTAAGGAGGGTGACATGTTGAAATGGCTTTTCAGGTTATCACCAACCTGGTGAAGATGGTGAAGGCGAGAGATACCAGGCGGCCCTTCTGCCCCTCGGGCCACTGGCTCTCCGAGGAGGTCAACATCCGAGCCGATAAGGTACCAGATCCCTGCAGCCCAGGGTCAATCTAGAGCAGTGTTTCTCAACCCAGTCCTCAGCGAACCCCAGCCAGTCCACGTTTTTTCTCCCCCAGCTCCCAGCCAATCAGGAACACCGAATAGGTGGTACAGGTGCGCTGGGAGCTGAGAGGAAGCAAAAACGTGGACTGGCTGGGGTTCGCTGAGGACTGGGCTGAGAAACACTGATCTAGAGGATTGTATCTCTGTCCAGTGCTCTGTGCTCCCATCTGTTTTTGCAATTTTGCGCTCCTCCACGCTGCAGCTACGGCTGCCATATCACTACATGAACAGCAAGCTTCAAGAAACACTAACTAAAAAGAAACTGTCATAAGCAGCATTAATGAAATGTTAGCATTATGGGTATGCAGGCATAGCAGGGGGGCCCGTAGATAGGAGCTGAACTTCTGGTTGCTGACACCAGGGGTCGCTCTACAGCAGTCGTGTAAATTCGTAGACGCTCACGGATGGTCAGTATTCTGAAGTGCTGCAGGTAGGGAGGTAAGAGACTGCTGATTGGCTGATTCTCCGCTCGCAGGTCACCCAGCTGTACGTTCCGTCTGCCCGGCACGTGTGGAGAGCCCGCCGAATGGGCCGGATCGGACCGCTGCAGTCCACGCTCGATGGTGAGAGACCAACATTACAACTTCATCTTTGATGTAGTTATGTATATGAAAAAGCGAGCAAGACTGGATTGTTGATCAGTAGGTTCTTATCTGAATTAAAATAAGCTGCCTGGATGAGGTTTCCTCCTTTATGCCACTGCGGTAAATTCAGGAGCGCCCTCTACTGGTTTGGAGTCATTGACATCAGTATGGGGGCAGCGGGAGAGCAGGTCCGTCACCTTGGCTGCCTTGTGTCAGCAGGACTCTGTCCCTCCCTCTTGTGTTTTAGAAATGATAGCTTGTTTGGTTGAAGGGGGCTTGAAAGATAGCGGGTTCTTCGGCGTGATGAGGTTACACACATAGCGGGTTCTTCGGCGTGATGAGGTTACACACATAGCG